AACTCCTCTAGCAATGCCCAACCTTGGTTTTACCATTTTCCACCTAGCCTCTTTTCCCTTGGGTTTCCAGAGCCCAAGGGTCATCTTTATTTAACCCCCCCCCCCCGGGGCCAGTGCTCCTCTGAGTGTTGGTCCAAACTAGAGCCCTGTGCAGTGCCCCCTCGAGGAAACTCGAGGTTTGGTTTTAGTTGTATGGAGCGCTCATCTGAGTGTGCCCTGAAAACGAGATATGTGCAGCTCCTATCGGGATTTGTCGGCACATTCGGGCAGTGTTGCTGGACTTGTTTTACCATTGTCAAGGATGTCTTGTAACCGGGATGCCGAGTCTGATCGGATTGTCTTGGGAGAAGGAATATCCTTCGTTGACCGTGAGAGCTTGTGATGGGCTAAGTTGGGACTCCCCTACAGGGATTTGAACTTTCGAAAGCCGTGCCCGCGGTTATGGGCAGATGGGAATTTGTTAATGTCCGGTTGTAGATAACATGAAACTTAACTTAATTAAAATGCACCAACCGCGTGTGTTACCGTGATGGTCTCTTCTCGGCGGAGTCCAGGAAGTGAACACGGTGTTGGAGTAATGCTTGATGTAGGTTGTACTAGGATCACTTCTTGATCATAGTTGTTCGACCGTGCTTTTGCCTTCTCTTCTCGCTCTCATTTGCTTATGTTAGCCACCATATATGCTAGTCGCTTGCTGCAGCTCCACATCATACCTTGTCTTACCTATAAGCTTAAATAGTCTTGATCGCGAGGGTGCGAGTTTGCTGAGTCCCCGTGACTCACAGATTACTTCCAAACCAGATGCATGGACCGATGATACCGCTCCAGACGATGCGCTTGAGCTCAAATGGGAGTTCGATGAAGACTCTCGCCGTTACTATGTGTCTTTCCCAGATGATCAGTAGTGGTGCCCAGTTGGGGCGATCAGGGACTTTGTCGCGTGTGGGGGTTGATCTTTATTTTGGTACCGTAGTCGGACCATGAGTGTATTGGATGAATGTAATGTTATTCATGTATTTGTGTGACGTGGCGAGTGTAAGCAAACTACGTACCTTTTCCCCTTTTATCTATTTACATGGGTTGTTGTGAAGATTACCTTACTTGTGACATTGCTTTCAATGCGGTTATGCCTCTAAGTCGTGCTTCGACACGTAGGAGATAGCCGCATCGAGGGCGTTACAATACCGTAACATATATAATAAATGTTATACTACTTTGTGTCATGCATGGCCATAAATACGGTCATCTATGATATATACTACTCTATGATACTATATATGCACTATGAAGGTACGTATGTAGTATCATACACTAGTATCATATGCATGATACTATATATAGTATATGATACTCCCCACTATATAAGGCAGGCCATAGTGGTGGTATCATAGCCGACAATATCATGCACTCAGAAATAGCAAGTATGCTGATGTGACAAAGAATTAAATATATAGAGAGAGAGTTAGAGTAACATATAGGTAGATACCATATCATGTTAAATGCGATGCTAATTTGTGTCATGCATGGCAATAAATATGATCTATGATACTATACTCTATGTATTATACTATGCGCTATATTAAGGACAATATAACCGCACCTAAAGCAAGCCCTCTCAGTGCTTCACATTTCTGACCATCGGATTTCTTGCCCAGATCATCCTCAGTCGTCTGATGCGTCTGCCCTCGAGCGTGGGTTGTTCCTGGGCCGGATATCCTGAGGGGCCGCTATTCCCGAAGCCGAATCGGAGCCTTCTCATTAGTCCATGCAAATTAACGTACGATCACGGACGGACAGTCATGATCGGCGTTAGGTATTTCCTCCGGTTCCACAAGTTTCAGTTTCACTCCCCCTCCCAACCGCGTATTACGCATCTCCCGTGGCGGCGCCACACATGACCATCTCCATCTCCTCCACCCGTCGGAGTTGTTGCTGTTTGAAGAGACACAACGGCTGCGCTACTGCCCGAGGGCCCCGCGGCCGAGCCCACTTCGCTCTCCACCTTCCTCCCTGTGCCGCCGTCTCAACATGCGCCTAAGCGATATTGTCGTGCAGACCACCGCAAGTCGTTGTCCTACCATCGACTGCCTCACCGTGCGCACCCGGAACAAACCCTACCCTCGAATCCTCCACGAGTACGCATGCACCACCACACCGGCCCCAAGCCCATTCAGCGCCTCCCGCGCATAGCCTGGATCCCGGTTCCTCCTGGGGCCAACGGGTACAAGGAGGGCCACTACAAGGATGGCACTGAACCGTCCAACTCTGCTGCTGCGAGGGCGGCGGCTAGGTTCCCAGTAGTCACGAACCTAGCGTCTACAAGTCGGACAACAGTGGGCACGATGCTTCCAGCAGGCTCATTTTCTCAACCAAACTCTCTTCCCGGTTAAGTTATCATATCCCTTATTTCTTAAAACATTCCAGGCATTGATTTCCTTAACAGTTTACATGTCATGTGTTTGATACAATGGACATGATGAACTATTGTGCTAAATGGTCTTTAATTTCCCTGTGTGAGAGCATCTCTAACAACCGCACAAAAATTTCGCACCCAATAAAAGTTATAGCGCGCCACTATACCACTTTTAATGCGTTGGGACCGACATTGCTTTAGCAGACGCCCAAAAACACGCGCCCAAGAAAGCACGGAGTGCAAATTTCGAAGCGCCCGCAATCCTGAGCCCAAAATATGCTATGCGCGATAGCGTTTTTCAGCGCGTGCCCAAAAATTTTTTGTGGGCGCAATATTTTACAGCACCTATTGGAGCTGTTCAGCACCCAAAATACGATATTTTTTAGCGCACTCGACGAAAGAAAGGGAGACTTGGTGAAGTCAGAGGTGGTTTTCCTTCCCTAAATTCATGGAAGGACTTTTTGAAGTTTGAGTGAGGAGGGAAAGTAAGGAAAGTGGGAAAGGTTCGATACAAAGGAAAGGGTTGCGAGGCTTAACGATTTAGAATATAGTTGTTGAGGTGGCACCTTGGAGCTCTTTTTAGGCGCCTGTTGGAGATGCTCTGAGGGGTACACCATTGACTCACTATACTTATGCAATTAACCTCCATAGTTCATTCTTCAAATGATGTTCATTTGAAACTTACCATATATCAGGTAGAAAATGTGTTGGTTCAAGATCATGGGGAGTGTTTACCATCATGATTTCCTTCCTCATATGCCATGGACAATCAGGAACTACTTTTTTGTCGTTTCTAGTATTGTTGCTACAGGTGTACGTATAGGATTTCTTCCATGGAGCAGGGAGTCATTTCGCTAGCCGGAGTCCAGCAGTTCGTGGAACCAGGCAGTTGATGAATGGGGCCTTATAGTATGGAAAACATGTTGGTTGTTGTAATCAAATAATTACTCATGTGGAATGTCTTGTTTTCCTTTCACCACACAAGTTTCTTCTAAGTCAGGAAATGATACTAGATTAGAGATCGTTTCCCTTTTGTCAAGTATAGATACTGGATCACATTTCATTTGGGAGTTTTGTTTCGCATCATTTGTTTGAGTGAGCTTCATTTCTAACATGGTGTTGTAATTGATAAAACACAGTTTTTTATGCGTAGAGCATCTTATAAGACTACAACATTACAATTGGAAAATCTGCAATGACTAGCGAATTGCAATTTCCTTTTCTATGTACAAACATTCATGTTGCTCAAACGGTGTTTGGTCACTTCTTTGATAGTGCACAGAAAAATCCTTTTTTAGTTAGTCCCTTGTTGATGAAAATTTTATCTAACACTTTGTGTAGACCAGGTTATTCCTGTGATCTTGAACTTATCGGTTCTTCTATTTCACCAGTTGCACTTCTGAGCATATAGATCAACATTATGCGAATATGTAGCTATTAATTTAACTCTATTTTACGAGAAAACTTTGACTTTGTGTGCATTATTTAATGTGAAAGTAAAATTTGTTCATTAGAATTCATAAATATGTAAGGTCTGCTAGAACTTTCTTTTTATTAGTCCTCATCACTTGTCCATAGATGAAGCACAAGGATAGATGAAGTGAGACATGTTGTTGTTGGATAAGATTTATTACTTTCTTAAACAAATAACATGGTGATATATGGGGCATGAAGAATAGATCCAATTACTAGATGGATCTTAAGGTATATGATGACACTAAAGAGAACAAGCCCAGTTCTGCATCCTCGTTGCCGATCGTGTAAGCTATTCTGTGCTCGAAGTACTACTCCAAAAATCATAGATCCGTAGTAACAAAATTATTGGTATGAATTCATCATAAGTCTTTGTTTGCCTTGTCCAATAATTTTAAGTATTGAGAACTATTTTTGTTTTATGCTCTAGGATGTACAAGCCGTGTATTTTTATTTGTGTGCTAAATCCAATTTTTATTGTTTATGCTACAGCCATTGTCGAAGCTAGGGTAATGGAGATGGTGTGCCGACATAGGCAAGAGCGATAGCCTTTTTACTCTACGACCTTCTTTCTTTTTCCTTTCCTTTTCTAAATTGATTTTTTTGGAATATATGAGGCATTTGAATTAAGAGATGAAGGATTTAATTACGTTGCAAAAGGCGGTCTCAAGTTTAATTCACTAATTAGCCATCTTTTCTATTTAGAGTGAAGTTATACTACAATTGTTTGGTTACACGCTTTAAGTTGATACTTGCTACAAGTATGTTTGACAATATGTTAATTAGACTGGCATCTTGAGTACTGTTTCTGGTTAATATGTATGAATTCGGTGAATTATAGGTGTCGTGTTGTGATTTGAACCACCACAGATTTATTTATTCGTTTAGACCTGGGTAGTGATCATGCCTCCAAATATTGGTAAAAATTCCTATCATTTGATTGAAAAAATTGATGGGCGCAGCAACACGCGCCATACTTAGACACATAACTCAACGCTTAACTTGAAGCGATGCAGTAATTAACTATACTTCTTAATAAGTCTTCGCACTAGACAAAGAAATAGAAGGCATGCATACTTAGGATTCTGTCGTCACATATCAATGCAAGTGCAAATTAAACTGGGGGCACACGAACCACGACGTGCAGGTACAGATTGTTCTTCCGTCGGACAGTGAGGCCCATCTCCTCAGTCATGTCTAGCTCATCTGGTCTCACCCCTCCTGGGAGCTCCCAGTCGAAGTGGTAGAGAAGTGCGGCCAATACAATCTCGATCCTAGCCTGCGCAAACATCATTCTAGGGAACATCCTTCGACCTGCCCCAAATGGTATGTACTCAAAGTCTGTTCCTTTGAAATCAACCATGCCAGATTCAAATCTCTCTGCTTTGAAATCCTTAGGGTATTCCCAGTGCCTAGGGTCTCTTCCGATTTCCCATGTGTTCACCAACATCGTGGTGCCCTCGGGGACATCATACCCAAGGATTTTGCAAGTATCACTTGCCTCCCTAGGGAGAAGCAATGGTGCAGCTGAATGAAGCCTCATTGTCTCCTTGATGACGAGTCTGAGGTACTTGAGATTGATCAAGTCAGCCTCGATCACCTTCGGCTTTCCTTGGAGGTTCTTGCATACTTTGGCTTGTGCCTTCTGCATCACATTTGGGGACCTCATGAGCTCTGACATGGCCCATTGAAGAGTTATAGTTGATGTCTTGCTTCCGGCACCAAACAGATCCTGCAATTTGCCGATTTGATGAAATTTGGAATTGCTACGTATTCTAGGAAGTTTTGGATTGTCACCCATATGCAGTGAGATATCATGTAGCAAATCCTCGAATAATAGCGAGTATAAAATATAACAATTCTTCGATTATGTGTGAACTCAAGAAAAATAAAATGAATTAAGAGACACTTGTGTCTTGCAAGCTACTCTCTCGTTTCAAAATACTTGACCCTTTTTGTTTTGTTGTAACTACTCCATCATTTTTAAGTACTTGAACTTTTTAATTATATGTTGGTCAATTGGTTTGGTTTGACTCAAATTATGAAACAATTTTAACATTGACAACAACATATTGATAATAAACAGAATCAATCACGAAATGAACTATCAAAAAATGTATAATTAATTTTGTTTAATACTACATCAATTGCGAGGTGGCGTGGTGACTCGTGCTTAATCCCCAAACCATTCCAATTTAAAAAAACACGGCATATTTCTTACGGAACTCTGTGGCCAAAGTATAACTGCTAGAAGAGGGAAGGCAGAAGCAAAGAAATTGTTGCACTTACAAGTATAACTGCTTTGATCATTCCCATGGTAAGGGGCATGTCGAGGCCACATTCCTTGCGTATCCTCAAGAGCGCGTCCACAAGGTCCTCTCCTTCCTCCACGGCACCGCTTGCCGAGGTGGTGGTTGCCCTCTGCTCTCGTGTTGCTTGATCGCGTACTCCATGAGCACGAAGCTCTTCTGGTGGTACTCCTCAGCCCGCTGTGTCATGCCACTGATGAATCGCTCTGAACCCGCTGGCGATCTTGACACCATCCTTGAGAGTCTGCAAGAACTCCTCATGCCTCCTGAATCTTTCCCCGATTGATACGTCTCCAACGTATCTATAATTTTTGATAGTTCCATGTTGTTATATTATCAATCTTGGATGTTTTATAATCATTTTATATCATTTTTTGGTACTAACCTAATGACATAGTGCCAAGTGCCAGTTCATGTTTTTCCGTGTTTTTTACATCGCAGAAAATCAATATCAGACAGAGTCCAGATGCCACGAAACTTTATGGTGATTTTTTATGGACCAGAAGGAACATGGTGGGACCTGGTTGCACCTGGGGGAGTCCCGAGGAGGGGACAACCCACCAGGGTGCGCCAGGAAGCGCAGGCATGCCCTGGTGGGTTGTGCCCACCTCAGGTGCCCCTCGGACTGCCTCTTTGGTCTATAAATAGCCCCAAAATACCGGAACCCTAGAAGCGTCGACGAAATATTCATCCAGCCGCCACAGAGTCCAGAACCACCAGATCCAATCTATACACCATCTCAGATGGGGTTCACCACCTCCACTGGTGCCTCTCCGATGATGTGTGAGTAGTTCTTTGTAGACCTTCAGGTCTGTAGTTAGTAGCTAGATGGCTTTCTCTCTCTCGCTGAATTCTCAATACAATGGTCTCTTGGAGATCCATATGATGTAACTCTTTTTGCGGTGTATTTGTTGGGATCTGATGAACTTTTAGTTTATGATCAGTCATATCTTCTTATATCCATGAAAGTTATTTGAGTTTCTTTGATCTCTTATATGCATGATCTCTTATAGCCTCGTATTTCTTCTCCGATATTTGGGTTTTGTTTTGCCAACGTGATCTATTTATCTTGCAATGGGAAGAGGTGCCCGGTAGTGGGTTCGATCTTACGATGCTTGATCCCAGTGACAGAAAGGGAACCGACATGTATGTATCGTTGCTACTAAGGATAAAAAGATGGGATCTATATCTACGCAACAGATAAACAGATCTTGTCTACATCATGTCATCGTTCTTATTGCATTACTCCCTTTTTCCATGAACTTAATACACTAGAGGCATGTTGGATAGCGGTCGATGTGTGGAGTAATAGTAGTAGATGCAGGCAGGAGTCGGTCTACTAATCTTGGACGTGATGCCTATGTAATGATCATTGCCTGGATATCTTCATAATTATTTGAGGTTCTATTGATTGCCCAACAGTAATTTGTTCACCCACTATTTGCTATCTTTCTCGAGAGAAGCCACTAGTGAAACATACGCCCCACGGGTCTTCTTTCTCATATATTTGCTTGCGATCTACTTTTCCTTTGCATTTTTATTCAGATCTGTTGAACCAAAAATACAAAAATATTTTCCTGCACTTTATATTATTTACGATCTATTATTTCAATCTACTACAAATTTTTGGCATCGTTACCCGAAAGGGATTGACAACCCCTTTAACATGTCGGGTTGCGAGGTGTTGTTATTTGTGTGCAGGTGCTATTTACGTTGTGTTGCGTGGTTCTCCTACTGGTTCGATAACCTTGGTTTCATCACTAAGGGAAATACCTACCTTTGATGTGCTACATCATCCCTCCCTCTTTGGGGAAATACCGACGTAATCCTAGCAGACAGGAGTTTTCTGGCGCTATAGTCAGGAAGCAATCAAAAGGAATTTCTGGCGCCGTTGCCGGGGAGGATCTTCAACATAACCAGGTTCCTAATAACAAATCTCATCTCCCCGCAATTTACATTATTTGCCATTTGCCTCTCGTTTTTGTCACACCCTGATTTTCATGCCACAACACTTAAGCTAATAAATCTTGATAAAGTGTGGTTTGACAAAAACTTTTGCATTATTTGGCTTTTATTTGGAGTTCGTTTTCTCTCTGTGTTTTCAAGTGTTCTTTAAAGTTAACACAACTCCACCTTCTATACTTCATCTCCTTGCCCCAAACTTCTGCCCAATGATCATGCCATGTGTATAGAGCAATATAGTATTTTCTTACAAAAATAATTTGGCCAAAAAGTATTTTCAAAAATTAGTTTTCCAAAAACCCCTGGATTGAGGTTTGCACTGCAAGTACCTGATTTGGGGTATGAAAAATATTTCAAAAGGTATATTTGAAACCTATTAGATATAGGATTCCCATAAACCCCAAAAATATAATTTTAAAAGTTATTTTCCTATTTTATTTAAAAGCTTTTTCTAAAGGCCAGAAATGGTCTTTAATAGGGAAAAATTATTTTATTATTTTAAAAATATTTGACAAAAATCAGGGAACCTCAGTGGACATATATTTTACATATATAAGAGTTTCAACACATGGTCAAGTTCAAAATATTGAACAAAACCTCCCAAAACCATTTCTGCCCATTTCAAGGATTTGAAATATTTCTACAGGAAATATTTCCATAAAAATCCAAGAAAAATCCAGCAAGTCACAAATGCATATTGTGATGATCTTGCAAATCCTCACTTCAATCAAGGTCATTATGGTCCACCAAAATGCCCCATAACCCTTTCTGTTCAGAACCTAATTTGAGCAAGTTTGTACTACCAACTTTCTCCCCTTAACCCCAACTTTTGTGAGCATGTTCACATGACCAAATGAGGCCACTACACCAAGTAGTGCATCAAGGAGAAGTGTTATGCTCAACTAGATCTACACAAGTCTATTTCTGCTCATTTCTAGGGTTTACAAAAGTTTCATTGGCAACTTTGCCCAAATCAGCTCCAGATTGGTAGAAGGCCCTAATTATATGTTTCCCTTCACCCTGTGGAGTCTCATGGCAGTAGGAAAACAACAGCTGGCCCAAACCATCATCAAACACCTTCTGCCATTTTTCCAAAAACACCATTTTGACCCCTTCCACTAATCTCCTTGAGCTCAACTTTTTACCACAGCTCCTCCTAGTCTTCTCCTACCTGCAGTAACTCTCCCCTGGTCATTGCTCAATTATTGGAGGGGTAAACCCCCATTTTCTCTCTCTGGACAGCCCATTTCCCTCTCTCCCTCAACCTCTCTCCTCTCCTACTGGCTGTCCAGGGCATCCAAGGCCCTCTCCCCTTTGTTTACTCCTCCCTAAACAACATAGACACAAGTGGCCACGCCCTACAAGCCAAAGGCATGCCCTGACATGCAATTGGCGTGCTCCAGAACACGCTACGGTGCACACCCGCACTGTAGCCGCCCCCTTCCAATCGCCTCCGGCCACCTAGGGCCTCCCCCTCGTGTCCCCCGAGGTCACCTCGACGTCCGCAGCACGCTACACTGTCGTCCCCCTCCTCTCTCTCCCTCTCCGGCTCTCCTCGCGTGCGGACAGAGCGCCGCCCGAGCGCGCCAGTCGCTGGCCGCGGCGGGGACCCGCTTTGACGCATTCCCCGCTCCCTCTCTTCTCCCCCTGGGCGTAGTCCACCTCCACGAAGTCCCTAGACTCGGCGCAGCACCTTCCCAAGGCCCGTAGCGACGAGCACGAGCTCGCTGGCGCACGATCCCATGGTGCACCATCGCCCCGCTATAAAAGGCCACCCCCGGGCCCTTTCTGGCCTCTGTTCGCTCTCTCTCCCTCCCAGCGACCCCCTGGACCAACCCTCCCCTCCTCGCGCTCTCCATCCGCCACCATGGCCGGAGCCTTGCTGTCGGCCTCCGCCTAAATTCGCACCCACCACTCCTCCTCCTCCCCTCTAGACCGCACTAGAGCACCTACACCGTCACCGCGAGCCCCTCCCGTGCTTCTCCCCCTCCTCCCCGTGGCTGTTCCATCAAGCTGCATCACCACCGTCAGCCTCGTCCGCTGCGGTCGACGCCTTGCTCAACCCGGTGCCCCTAGGCGACCGTGCCACCCACGGTTGGACGTGGCTGGGTCCCCTGAGCACGCCGGTGGGCAGAACATCGCCGGAGACGCCCTGTAGCACCGGCGACCGGCGTCGAGAACCTCCTCTGTCTCCTGTCACACCCGCGCGGGAGGTGGAGGACGAACCTGACAGGAGGGCCCCGCCTCGTTAAGTGGACACGGGCTCTGCCCGCTGACGCCTTCGCTCGGGGAAGGCGTATTTCCCTCGAGTACGCCTCCTGCGTCGACCGCCCGTGCGTAGCCATGCAGCTGGGCGGCCCATGCCTATCTCTCGCCCATGCGCAGAATAAGGGTATAGTCTTTTTCTTATTTTCTTTTCCCAGATAATTGGTAAAATCTCCCAAATATTCATATTACCTCCAAATTTGATGATTCAAATTTCTAGTAGTTTCTAAAATCATGCCCTATCTCATGGTGCTATTTGCACATTTTCCACAAGTATCTATTTCACAAATATTTATCAAAATCCTATTTTTTCCATTTCTGTGATAAACTTTAGAAAATCACAGAGAGCCCATTTTTTATCCAAATTCCATGATTCAAAATCCTATATGTCTATAAGTTCAAAACTTAGTTTTTGAACATTTTTACTAATACTTTCTGCATCACCTCAAATAATGGTCTATTTCTTCATATATAGCCAACTTTGCAAATTCATAGAGAAATCATTTGAACTCCAAAACCAGTGAAACCAACTCCTAGATGCTTCTAAAATCATGCCTTGTTAAATGGCTATCCTTGCTCATTTTTCAAAATAATAGTTTTGTGCACCTCTTGCAAATCCGTAAACCCCTTGATTCCATCATATCCAAATGTTTAGAAATATCCACTGACCCAATTCCAATGAAACCACTCTGTTTAATTTTCATATAACCAGAGATGTCCTAGAAAAGTCAAATTAATATTTTTAGAGCACTTTCATTTCCTGCCTTGTTGTGTTGCTTATTATGGTTGCTT